GTATCTAGGAATTACTATGAGCCGTAACTTATCATGGGAAACTCATACTAAGAATATTACATCCAAGATTTCTGCCGGGACTGGTATTTTGTACAAGTTTAAAAATAAGTTGAATAAGTCGGCGAAAATCATAATATATAACTTAATAATCCACTCCCATCTTACATACTTGCCTATTATCTTTGCTAACAAAAACAGCGCAAGTTTAAACGCCATACAATGTGCTCAAAATAAGGCCTTAAAAGTGGTCTACAATCTTCCTTTAATGTATCCTACTGTTGACCTATACAAGGACATTGCCAAAACAGTTCTTCCGGTTCATGGAATATACAAGCAACAAATACTTATATATATGTTTAAGGCAATACACGGTTCCAGACTAATAAGTTTCGAAACAAATTATTCGCAGAATGGAATACCAACGTGTCATTCAAATAATCTTAGAGTTATCAGATGCAGTTTAGAGGTGACAAAACAACGTATTGGCTATTCGGGACCCACTCTATATAATGCTCTCCCGCTGTCTTTAAAAAATATTGACGTTTTGTCTACCTTCAAATTTCATTTAAAAAAATATACTTTTCAATGTGGAAACACTTCTAAATTTGTAATAAGTTGATTTTTAATTTTGTTGTCATGTGATATTCATTTAAAATGCAGAAATAATACAAATAATATTATTTATATAGTTTGTAAACATGTTGCCATTTTTGCCTCTATAATGCCTCTAAGGCGCAGGGGCTTTTATTTGTAAATTTGTATGAAAATAATGAACTAATAAATAACAATTAAAAAAAAAGTTAATTGAGCATAACGTTATGCAAAGGATTGTAGAGTTTTCGTCAAATTTAAAGAATGAAATAAGCAACGATCTACAAGGAAAACTGATATCTTTGAAAATTGATTCAGGCTAAATGTAAGTGTTTTGGGTGTAAACGTGCAATACATTAGCGATAGCATCATTGTTATAAAAACTCTCGGAATAGAAGAATTGAAACAGAGACACACGAGCGAATATTTGAAAATGTGCTGCTAGATATTTTGGAAGAATATAGTTTAAATGTAAACCAAATATTATCAATAACAACAGATAATGGAGCTAATATGATTAAGCCTGTAAACAGTTTGAACCCAAACATATAACCCAACATTATAACATTATAACCCAAACATATCTCAACGTTTTGAGATCTAGTGGATTTAAAATACCAATTTTAGTCTGCGTAACTAGATGGAATTCTATATATATAATGTTGGAAAGATTAACCGATTTAAAGGATTTCCTAAATATGATACAAGAAGATAATCCATTCTTCGACATATATGATGATAGCTGGAAATCAGTTGAATAGTTTATAAACGTTTTTAAAGTCATTCATGATACCTCTAAAAAGTTGCAGTCGGAAAACCTCATATATAGTGAGCTATATATACAAATAATTAACATTTTACTACAATTGGAGATATTACCAAAAACAGAAGTATGCTCACTTTTAATAGAGTCTGTAAACAAACGGAAATGTATGTTATTTGGTAATGATTTGTTTATAATTGCTATTTTTTGGACCCGAGAATAAAAGTTTCCCTAACTGGGGATAATATTATTAGAGCGATAAATTTTATAAAGCAGTTAGATGCGCGGATTTCAACTTTGAAAGGTACGTTTTATTTGAATTGATGAATATTTAAATGAAAAATACATTTTTTTCAGGAAATTTTGAAATTTTGATCTTTTTTTGAAGTTGAACATTGCAATACTACAACCGAGGTTGAATCAAATAAAACAGAAGTTGCACTTGAAGCGTTTTTGAAAAGTTTTGATAAGCCTTCTTACAATGAGCTAAATCTCACAAATATTGAAAATGATCTCCGCATTTATGAGCAACAGGGCAGATTAGGAATCAACGACAATGTTATAGAATATTGAAAAAAAAAAACAAAATAATTCTCTAACAACAGTTACATTCGTTGTGTTAGCAATACCATGTACACAAGTAAGCGTGGAACGTCTGTTTTCTTCCTAAAAATATATATTAGCAGATCAATGTAATAAGCTAACACCAACAAATTTGGAACGTATTTTATTAACAAGAGTGAATGGAGAATTCAAATACGAAGACTAATTTTTTAATTTTATTTAAATGATTATAATTTTATATTAATTGAATTTATATTTTGCCTTTTACAAAAATTGTTTTTTGGATTATTTTTTTTATTGGTAATAAATAAACTTTGTGCATTATTTTAATAATTAATCAAATTAATTTATGCTTCATGATACCTCTAAAAAGTTGCAGTCGGAAAACCTCATATATAGTGAGCTATATATACAAATAATTAACATTTTACTACAATTGGAGATATTACCAAAACCAGAAGTATGCTCACTTTTAATAGCGTCTGTAAACAAACGGAAATGTATGTTATTTGGTAATGATTTGTTTATAATTGCTATTTTTTGGACCCGAGAATAAAAGTTTCCCTAACTGGGGAAAATATTATTAGAGCGATAAATTTTATAAAGCAGTTAGATGCGCGGATTTCAACTTTGAAAGGTACGTTTTATTTGAATTGATGAATATTTAAATGAAAAATAAATTTTTTTCAGGAAATTTTGAAATTTTGATCTTTTTCTGAAGTTGAACATTGCAATACTACAACCGAGGTTGAATCAAATAAAACAGAAGTTGCACTTGAAGCGTTTTTGAAAAGTTTTGATAAGCCTTCTTACAATGAGCTAAATCTCACAAATATTGAAAATGATCTCCGCATTTATGAGCAACAGGGCAGATTAGGAATCAACGAAAATGTTATAGAATATTGAAAAAAAAAAAAACAAAATAATTCTCTAACAACAGTTACATTCGTTGTGTTAGCAATACCATGTACACAAGTAAGCGTGGAACGTCTGTTTTCTTCCTAAAAATATATATTAGCAGATCAATGTAATAAGCTAACACCAACAAATTTGGAACGTATTTTATTAACAAGAGTGAATGGAGAATTCAAATACGAAGACTAATTTTTTAATTTTATTTAAATGAATATAATTTTATATTAATTGAATTTATATTTTGCCTTTTACAAAAATTGTTTTTTGGATTATTTTTTTTATTGGTAATAAATAAACTTTGTGCATTATTTTAATAATTAATCAAATTAATTTATGCTTACATGAAATGAATTTAATTTATTTATTATATTTTTTAGCAAAAGTGTATCATAAATAATTTTTAATATTTTATTATTTAATAAAATAGTGACTGAATTAAACAATTATGTTTTTGAATTCTTTATTATGAGTTAAGAATATGTCATCTAAATAGTGTAGAAATACTATTCGACATTGCGCACACCAAAAATTAGTAACATTTCATTTTGTTGACAAACTCAACAACTCGCCATAGAAAAGCATCAATCATAAACGCACAAAGGGTACCCGTAACAATGACACAAACAAAACACAACAGGTGATCATTTTCCTCAAGCAAACGTTTGAGAACGTTTCATTTTCGTGTCGCTCCCAAACGTTTCGACTCAACATTGCACAACAGAAGTACACTAAAGCAATAGTACTGTTTGCCTCTTTTTGATTTGAAAAGTTTGTGATTTTGTTTTGTACTATGAACGAAACGATTCAAAGAAAATGAAAAGTTTGTGACTTTGTGTGATTCGTACGGGTATTGTACTGTTTGTTTGCATTCTCTGCTTGAGGGCAAAGGATACATTCTTTCTTAGGCGAGAAGGACATGGGTTTGGAAATTTTTAGAGCTAGATTTTTTGACTGAGTCATTTCCTCGCATACATGAGTGTCTAAATTCGTTCCGTTAAAAACCTATCGAGATCTTTCCACAATGTTTGTGTAGAATTTGAAGACAAATAAAAACTAAGAACGGATCCCAATTATCCGTACGAACGTCGTAAATAAACATTACAGACAAACAACCATTAATACCACGCTAGATTTGTTTTAGACCTGAACTTGTCTCAACTTCAAGTACCGGAAGTGCAAATAATATTTTAAACTGTTTATGTATCAACAAACGAGGATTATCGTACGTGGCTTTCAACGCGTTACACGCCAGACAAAAACAGCGGTTTGTTAAGGGGACTTTGGAAACAATCTCGCGAGACAGAGATAGACAGAGATTTTTTTATAAAGACCGCGCGTATCTGAAGGAAGAAAATCGACCTTGAAAATATCAATATCACAAGAATGCAACGCAAAAGGCTGGGATGGTTAACTGCTGTCGAAATTAGGAAAGTATAGTCTCTTGAGCAGGAATAATTTCTCCTCGGAGTTGTATGAAAAAACCAAAGGAAGAAAAAACAAGGTGTTTTAGAAAGAATGTTTGCCAAATAGTGGAATTTTATTTATCGAAAATTCGGTGGATAATTTGGAAACGAACCTTACCAAGAACAGGGTTGTTTGATGGTTAGTACAGAAGTAAGTTTATTTACAAAAAAGAAAAAAGGAACAACCAATGTAAAAGGAAAACATTTGCATTTACTACATTATCATTTAGTACCAAGAGAGAGATGCAAATTTAGACAAATGAAAGAAAAATTGAAACTAGAGAATAGGGTGGTTGGCGTTAACATTACCGGTCCCCTTGCAGTAACTGCAACTAAAGAAATTAGACAAAAACTAGCACTCTCTCTTGTTTACAAAAAAAATTGATATATTGAAAGATTAGATATATATAATGGTGAACGGGCTGGTACTAGGATGCAGTCCTCCTTCAGAGTGAACAGCCCAGGCATATAGATTCGCTAGGTCTGTCCACTGGATACTAAATATGCTGAAAAGGAAAGTTTGTGCTTTTTGGGAAGGAGGAAAAACAATAGTGCATGTGAGAAACTTCATTTATTGGTGGAATTCATTTCGAAGAAAATATTAATAAATATCAGTTCGAACAGGAGCCATAAATTGCCCACCCGAAAATGGTACTCTGAGCAGTGGGCAAGGCGCTGCGTGAATACACCCCTTCTGACATTACTCTCGGATAAAGATCCACTCCGATGACAATATCGATGCCGGCAGATTTGTGGATGTCCGGATCGGCGAACAGCAAATGCGGGAAGTGCTTATGGTAGTCTTCCGGAAGTGATTCGAGTGAAGTCTTCATCGCGATCCGATATTCCACACGAAAAGTGCCCTCAATCTTCACGGACGAATCATGCCTAGAATAGAGTGTAAGCGCGCAAATGGTCTTCTCCCTCAAAGTAAGCCGCGCTATCTTGTGCTTGTCGGCGAAACCCCGGGCTATGCGACTCACCAACGAACCCGAATCCAGCAAGCATCGAGCCATCACTTTCGCGTCGATCCGAACCAGAACTGTGGGCAATAATATTATATAGTTCTTGTGGATCAATGATGTTAGGGATCCTTGGGACGAAACGGCGGGCCTAGTAGGTTCAACAGCGCGATAATTAGTTCTCGTTGATGTAGATGGCTCTGGTGACACCGAGCGAGATTTGGACCGAGACGACGAATTTCCTGGCAGAAGCTGGTCACGGAGCTTGGGGTTCACATGCAGCAATGTGTGGTGGAATTTGTGGCAATGATGGCTGCCGCGATCGCTAAAGCATGTACCATGTGAGTGTCCGCGAGCCAGGCAGTTCACACAGTATTTATGCCGCCGTACAGCATTCAGCTGATCCGCCATGGTCATATCTAAAAACTTCCTGCACAATCGTAATGGATGCGGACGCTGGCACAGACGGCAGAGGAAACGTCCCTTTCTGTGAGGAGCTTGGTTGTCACGGGAATGACTGATGCGACTGGAGCTGTTCGATTTAGGCATGGTTAAGGACGTAACATAAATATAGATAGAAGGAAAGGAAGAGAAAGGTAAATGAAAGAAATTTCGAACTTATGAAATTTCGAACCACATGAGGTGCCCCAGGTGGAATAAAATGCCAGTTTAGATTATGAAGAGCATATTGAGAGATCACAGCCGAACGCGAAACATGAATGAATTCTCTAGCAAGAACTTTGGACGCCCCTACAAAGGTCGTACCATTGTCAGAGTATAAGTGGGAAGGACATCCTCTCCTAGAAACGAACCGATGGAAGGCTGCTAGGAACGTGGGCGTCGACAGGTCCAAATGGATCGCCTTTGTGGCAAAACACACGAACACGCACACGTAATAACTTTTCACATCAAACGGTCCCGCAAAATCAAGACCGGTACGGAAAAATGGACGAGAAAGGACAGTTCGCTCAGGAGGGAGGGCAGCCATGATCTGCTTTTGACAATGCTTTTTGTAAAGAACACACGTTTTGCAGTCCTTTATGACTGCCTTGATTATGTTCTTTACCTTGGGTATCCAGTATTGTGATCTTATCACTCGAAGAATAAGTTGATTGCCACCATGAATGGTAATCTGATGAACAAATTGAACATAGAGCCTGGAGAACTTGCAACTGTACGGGAGTATGATCGGACGTCTTTCATCGAAAGAAATTCCAGGTGACGAATCTAACCGGCCACAAGAACGAATTAGACCATCAGCATCTAGATATGGATTTAAGCTTAGAAGCGAACTAGAGGACGAAACAGTCTTTCCCATGTACAATGTCCGGTACTCCTCTGGATAACAGAACTTTTGACACCATTTAACAAGAATATTACGACCTCCGATCATATCCGAACTGCAGAGAGGTTCCGAAGCGCGCGAGAAAGAAGAACGGTACCTTGGATGGGTACGGTGAATAAATCGATACACATAGGAAAATACCCTAAGTGCTCGCTGATAAGATGAAATGCTTCCCAAGATATCCTCCGTTGAATTTAAATAGGAAAAATGAACACGAACAGACTTTCGCTGCACGTCTGTTTCTGTTGAATGAATGAACTCTGGTCCGTACCACCAAAGATCATTATTGACAATGTCTTGTGGAAAGCCAGGAAAGAACGATAGTGGAGTCTGTCCAGCAGAACAAGGAATATTTCGAAATATTAAGGGTAGGGAGTAATGTATCAATCATGTCTGCTAGAAGAACAGCCCCACGAAGTTCCAACCTTGGAATGGACAGTGTTTTCACTGGAGCAACTCTTGTTTTGGAATACACCAGGTGAGTGAATACGGACGTACCTCTAGCTATTCGCACATATAAAGCGGCCGCGTATGCCTTTTCGGATGCATCGCAAAAACCTTGGAACTGAATATCAGCCGTAGGAGTAAAATCGAGCCACCTCGGAATTCTAACTCTATCAAGAACAGAGTAGTTTGACTGGAATATTTTCCATTCTGACAATGTGGAGGGATTTATAACATCATCCCAACCAGTGCCATCGGACCACCAATGCATGGTGAAAGCCATCCAGCAGGATCGAATAATTTGGAGATCTGAGACAGGATCTCTCTTTTTGTATAGGAACATGAAGATGGAAACGGTGTTGTTGAAAAGAAAAATTCATCCGAACTCGCATCCTACCGAATCCCCAAGGTTTTGGCTGTGCTGTGATCATCGAAGTCTAAAAAGACTTCATGAAATAAATAATCATTAGGAAGATCTGCAAGAATGTCTCTCGAATTGGTTGTCCACTTCCGAAGGCAAAAGCCAGCGGAGTCTAGTGCAGATTTTAGTTCGGCTTTGGCTTGAATAGCAGTCGAGATAGAATGGGCTCCGAAGAGCACATCATCGACGTATATGTAATTACGAATAATCTCGCTTGCACTCGGATATAAATCTTGAACATCGTCAGCAAGTTGGAGCAGAGTGCGAATGGCCAAGTACGGAGCACAATTGACACCGAAAGTGACAGTTTGTAACTCGAAATCATGAATGCTCTCACCTGGGTGGTTGCGGAATATTATACGTTGGAACGGAGTATGATCTGGATCAACAAGAATCTGGCGGTAAATTTTCTCGATGTCCGCATTGAATACATATCGGAAGAGACGCCATTTGTAAGGTAAAGTGGTCAAGTCAGATTGCAAAACCGGACCAGCGTGCAACACATCGTTCAGACTGTGACCATTGGACGTATCGGAGGAAGCATTAAAGACCACCCGAACCTTGGTGGTTGAGCTCTCCGGCTTAATAACCGCGTGATGCGATAAATAATAATGGCGTGAATCACTATTTAAACATGGAGCAGGAACTGGGACCATGTGTTTCAAATGAACGTACTCATTGAGTACCTGATCATACTCCTCTTTAAAATCTGAATTTCGTAGAAGACGGCTCTCATTGCGAAGGAATTGTGTTACAGCTCGTGAACGGGATTGACCAAGATCCATTTTCTCCGGGAAACCTTGTTTGAAAAGAAGAGACACGACATACCGACCATCTTTATTCCTTTTTGTAGTGGAAACGTAGAGCTCCTCGCAATATTTATCGGAGTCTGAAGGAAATTTTTTCTTAATAAGATTCTCCACTTCCCAAAATCGACATATCTCTATGTCTAAGGAAATTTCACAGAAATTGGAAATTAACGTGGCTGATGAAGAAGAAACTGGAACAGGGCCAGTTAAAATCCATCCATAGATTGTTTCCTGACCCATCAAGGAGTCACAAATATCTTGCATGACTCCAGCACGCATGATGAATGGAAGAAAGTCACCGCCTATAAGAATATCGATGTTCGAACTTTTGAAGAAGTGCGGGTCAGCCAGATGAATTGAAGGAAGTCGAGAGAACAAAGATGATGGTAATGTGTGGGAAGGAAGATTTCCAGACAAATGTGGAACCACGAATGCTTGCACGGAAAGCTGAACGGAATCATCAAATCGAGAGGACAGCACAACGGAACATACTTTTCGAACGGAGGCAGCGGTCGAATTATTGAGACCAGAAATCTGAACTTTTGTACGCTGATATGGAAGTTTGACTTTATTGAAGAATGTTCCTTGAGAACCCGAATCTAGGAGTACACGAGCGTGATACCTTACTCCTAAGTGAATCACATTCACCAACGCAGTCCCCAACAAAACACACCGAGAGCTGGAAGTGAAACACGTCTGAATTACTCCACCCCTGAAGTAGTGGACTGTAAAGAATTTGGAGAAAATGGAGTGGAGTTTGGACTTAAAGTGGTAGAGCTCGTAGGTGGATTGGATGGATGATTACTTGACGAACGCTCATGAAGCATAGTATTGTGCCGCCTCTGACACTCAAAACAATTATTTTTGCTCGTACAATTTTTTACGTGGTGAGTTTTTGAGAAACAATTCAGGCACAGGCCTTGTTTCTTGATCTCAGCCACTCGTTGTTTGATATCCATATCAATGAATCTAGGACATTTTCGAATAATATGAGCGGAATTTGTGCACAAAGGACATTTTGGAGCAGTAACATTGATATGGAATGAGCTGAACTTCGAATTCTTTGAATGTGCATTGGATTTAGTTTTTCGATCATCAGACTTCGGAAAATTGCGCATCTCGGAGACGGATTCAAGTGTACGATATCGATTCGTAAGGAAAGAATCAAGGTCAGTCCACTTTGGAATAGCAGTCTTGTCAGCCAAACCTTGTTCCTAAAGCGTCAGAGTTGAGTCAGAAAGACGATTCGAACAAAGGAAAACAAATATTGGATCCCAACTTCTAACGTCGATATCGTACAGAGATAACGCAGCAATACATGAATTTATGTCGCGCTGTAATGACTTAATTGCACTCGCTGACTCGGACTTAATATCAGGAAGATTGAATAGAACTTTTAATTGGCCATTAACAAGAATTCGCTTATTTTCGAAACGATCGCACAAACCTTTCCAAGCAAGTTGAAAACCTTGATTTGTCAAAGGTGCACGTTGGACAATATCTCTAGCTTCGCCTTTAGTCTTCTGGGTCAAATGAAACAATCGCTCGACTGGACTTAGCCTAGAATTTCTTATGTACACGGCTGTGAACATATCTCGGAAAGTCGGCCATGACATATAATCCCCGTTGAAAATTTCGGTATCGCATGGGGGCAGGTTGAACGAATAATTTGAACCATGATCATGATGGATTGTAGAATTAGGACTCTGGATCGAAGGGTTCGGAGGTGAAACAGAAGGCTCTTTAGGAACTGTTTGCCTTTAGAGATCCCCAGACAACTGCGGGAGGCGAGCCAAGCACTCGCAATAAGTGACATAGGCACTATTGTATTTGGCCTGGAACGTCTCGAGCTCCGAAGCGGCATCTGTATCTTCTTCGTGTTCATCATCCTCCTCGTTCTGTTCTTCACTAGCTCGATCGGACATAAATTGGTCATACGCTGATTTGATGCCTGCCCATAAGGATTTAACTTCCGAAATATGTATCTTTATGAATTGGGCAGACGTCAAGGGAACATTACGACCAACAACCTCGGCATTGGAGGTGACCAGACGATCAGCTTGACGAATGAAGGCTTCCAAGGACATTATCGCTCTGTAAAAATTAATGAAAATTGATTTAGAACAAGAAACTAGCTAAGAATAAGCGAAGAACAGCGAGAACGGAAGGAAATAGGGTTACATTCCAATCAAATTTGTTCACGAATATCTAAAAAAATGGTCGAAAAATACGTTTTTCTTTGTACTTTCTCCTTTGTACAGCGCCACCTAGCGGTAAATGAATGGACAAGAACTAAAAGCAGTAGGTGAATTTCCACGAAAAACCGGAATAAATTGGAATAATATTGAAAATATGATTTTTGAGGTATTTTCGTATATATAAAGCGCCCCCTGGCGATGAACGAACACACTATATATTTGCACAGTCAGAAATAAATCCGCAGTGAGCAAATGTCAAAAATATCAAAGATCACCCAGGAAATAATAATAAATAATTGAAAGAATTAAAGTTTTTAGGTGATTTAGGATTT